TTTTCCCTGCAAGAACCTACTTCCCATAGCAGTTCCGGCAAATGCACTGCCTGCAACAGAAAGATAGCTTTGAAACTGAGAGACTGGTTCAGACTAGAAACAGACAAACGGACAGACGGACGGACATGGCTACATTAACTCGGCTATTGACGCTGATTTAGAATATATACCTTATGGGGTCGGAGATGCTTTCCTCTGCCTGTTACAATACGCAATATCTAGAATTTGTATAACAAAAGCTTTTGGCTGGGCTCTGCGTCATAAACAACTCAAGCATTTCCTTGAAAATCGAAGGTATTTTTGTACTTCAACTAAAAAGCAGCCTGTTGTGACTACTAAACTCTAAGTCCTTCAATTGGCAACTAACTTTTTGAACGATGGATCGTTTAAGAAGTTAATGACAAACGGAAATGAGGGCGGCCACGTAAATATATGTAAATAATGAAAAACAGTCTCAATTTTCGTTTGCATGACAAAAAGCAGCAAAACGACAAACAAACAAATGAATAAAACAAAATCAAAGGGCGAACGCGATTCGGGTAAATCGAGAGAATGCATATTTATTTGTCCAAAGTATCTGTATCTGCGGTTGCAGCGCGTATCTGTATCTGTAACTGAGTCTAGCTGCGCGACTTTATCGCTAAGCGGCATCGAAATGTGAGCGATATGTGAATAGATTTTCCATTTGCCTGCTGCTGCTGTTTTGTCTTTTTGTTTTGTTTTTGTTCTTCACTTTTTGTTGCTTGTTGCATGAGTAATGGGCGTCTGTTTGCCGCTGCAGATGCAAATGTATCTGCGTATCTGAGCGCATATATAAATAGTATTTCAGTTGAACGCGCAGCCAAAATAGCAAAGGCGCGTAGCCTTTTTCGCCTTTTTGCCGTTTTGCCTACGGCAATGCGCCTGCCTTCGGCGTATTGTATTTCAAAAAATTGTCGTTTCAAATTGACACAAATCTGCGGCACAAGTAACCCCCAGCCACCCTCCCCCCGCCCCTCTCCGCAAGAGGTGAGACAAAAGCAGAGGAGCATAGATTTATTAACATATATGCCAAAGTTTGAATACTCTACTAGAATTGTTAGAGAAGTAGCATATACAATTTTCCTCTCATATATCTATATGTTTGCCTATCTTGAATATATTTATAAATGTGATGAAGATTGAATATCCTGCAAGACATGTTGAAGAAGTAGGACATAGGATTATCCTTTTTGAAATGTCGCAAATATATATAGATACAAAATATTGTATTCCGATGTTTTTAATACTTTGCGAAGGTGTAAAGTTTGCTAAAGAAGCGAATAATAATAATAATAATAATTCATTTTTCAACATGCAATAACAGGATATATGATATGAAAGATATTTAATATATGGCATAAGATATTGCAGTGCGATTCAAATAAGCACAATTGCCTAAGTTAACTGCAGCTTTATAGTTCTACAAGTCCTGGATTTTAAAATTTGCATAAAGTAAGTTAAGAAATCAACTGCCAAATAATTATTTCTGTATGATATTGTAGTCGGAGGCAAAACGTTTTCGAGAGCTTGCTTGATCTTAATCCCAACAAACGAACATAAACTGTAAGCTAAAATCTAGGCCAATAATTTCCATGTCTGCTAAACGATATAGTTATCGATAGCTTATAGCTTTTGGCCTAATAGTAATTGGATACGATTTGGCAGCTGATGCTGATGACTGTAAATTAAAAGTACCCTTTTGGAAAGGGTATTGAAAGCTGGCGAGCATGAGTTTTGACTCTGCGTATTATTCGTTTGAATTGGGCGAATGTCTGTCGTTTTGTCGCACTGTCTGACTCGAACTCGGCAGCATTGTCGTCGTCGTTGTCGTTGTCGTCGAGTGTTTTCCATGCGATAGCAGCAAATATATTTTCAATGCATACAAAATTACTTCCAGTAAACTGCTTGCGAAATTAAAATTAAATTACGCAGCCGGCTTGGGGTAGGTGGGTGGTAGGGGTTGGGTTTTTTGAAAAGTTCATTAAGTTATATATGTGTTATGTGCAGCGTGGTAGTTGACACGAAAATGACACAAAGAGGCGCCTCGGCACCTATGCGAGATAGTCGAAGGCGGTCGGAGTAGTGGGTCGGCATACTTAGGCACATCATTAAGTAGCCAAGACAATCGTGCCAATCATTAAAAATCTGGGAGCTCGAGCGCACTGCAATGCGGATGCCCGTCGTCTCTCTCTCTCTCTGTGTCATCTCTCGGCAGTTATCAACACGTACGTCGCCGACCTGTCTAAGGCAGGCACCCAAACTATTGCAGTTAGACTTTAGAAACCGGCGCATGTTTATAGACGCCCTAGATTAGGTCTTTGTCAGCATATTTTTCGAGTGTCTACTGTGTGTGGGAGATGCCACTGCGTGTCTCTCTCTCTGTGTGTGTGTGTGTGTGTGCTCGAGTGGCGATAGCTGGTGGAAAAGAAATCCAAAAGCATAAGCTCTGGCGCGAGTGGTTGCCACTTGAGCAGCGAGCCTCGGCTGAGCCGCTTGTTCCGGCTGCCCCAAGAGACTCAACTGGATGCACTAGAGCAGCAGCTGCAGCTAAAACCAAATCGCAGGCAATGTCTAAGACTCAAACAGCAGAAGTTACGGGCACAACAACTTCTAGGCGGATGCCCGATTGCATGATCGCAGTCTGTGGCAGTTGTTATTGGTGTGAAGTGGGAAGTGCGGGTGCTTAAATGCTGTAAAAGGCATAATTGTCGCATAAACGGTTGCAAACGGGTCTTATTCGATATAACCGATTCATAACCGTTTCACTGGCAATACATAAAATACATTTCACATATAAAAATCCATTTAACAGCCATTTTGCCCACTTAATATTTCCGTTTCATAACCGTTTCACAAATATGTATTAGATAAACATTTCAAAAAGTGTAAGAAAACTATTTTGAAAACATTTTGTACTCGTCTAAACCAATTTATAACTATTGCATAACCGTTTAATAACCGATTCGTAGCTGTAACCGTTTCGATGCGAATTATTAGCGGCTCCACATATCGTTAACCAACACTGTGCCACAATAATGCTGCACTTTCTGAGCTAAACGAACATTTGCGGGCAAGTCTTTAATTTAAAACAAGATATTTCAGACTTTGGCTAATTTACCAAGCCAACCAACCAGCGTATGCCAAAAAGCAAAAATACAATAAAAACAACAGCAAGAAAAAAAAAACAACAAAAAAAACAATAAAAATTAAAAAAGATTGAAGACACACAGCAAATGGGCAAAGATAACAAAAGGGCAGCAGGGGGGCAAAGACACACACACACACACACACACACACTCACACACACGTGTTCGCCAAATTTCAAGTTGGGGCCCAACGATTGAAGAAGCCATTTGAAAATTTGAAAATTTTTTTGGCACAGGTACAAAAAACCTGAAATCAAAATAAAAAATAAAAACGAGGAAAAAAACAAAAAGAGACAAACCAAAGACCGCATTGACTCTTCAACTATTGCGGCATATATGCGCTGGCAAGCGAGTGTGTGTGCTGGTGTGTGTGTGTGTATGTGTGTAGATATGCGCTATAGGTTATAATATGTTAGCGTAATGCCGAGTGCCATTCTGATGATGGGCGGAGCCAACAATTTCGCTAAACAAAAACACAAAAACGGCGACAACAACACAAAAAGGCAATGCGGCTGACTGTATGCAAGTGTGTGTGTGTGTGTGTGTGTGTGTGTGTGTGTGTGTGTGTGTGTGTGTGTGTGCACTGCGGCGGCGGATGTGTTGGCGGCAGCAGACTGCAACACTCCAAGTTGGCCAAGCCGAGCATCAAAAGGCATCTTGCTGTCGTTTCTTTTTTGGCCAACATTTCGAGTGGTCCGTTTTTTTTTTTTTCTGGGTCCGACAGCAAATTTGGTTAATATGAGGCAAAGTGAAGCCGCCTTTTGATTAGCCTAATGAAACTATGCAGCATATAATGGTTGCCCCTTGAACTAAAACCAGCTCCCCCCCCCCCCGCCCCCCCACCAACCCCCTGGCCTACGGTTGCCCCGCCGCTGTGCAACTGCGGCCAATTGATGTCGAATTACGTCGCGGCAGCAGCAAATCTCAAGCATTTCATCAATTACAATTTCAATTTAAAAAAAAAAAAAACAAAAACAAAAACCCGATTGTCGTTCATTGTGTTCGATCGTCAAATAAACAACAACTCAACTGAATAATGAATCAATTTGTTGGCTCATTTAAATTGCGCTACGAATACATAAATCTATATCTATATGTATATATTTATCTATCTCTCTATATATGTATATATATATATTGGGCAAATCAGCCGCACGAATTTCGTGTAAATTGAATTGGGCCAGTTTGAAAATTTAACAAAATATTGAACAATGCATTAGATCAATGAATATCCAATTTATCTGTTTTCTATTAATAACCCATTTATCTATTTTTAAAACGAATCAAAGTTGAAATTTTTAAATGAAGCAAAAATATTTTGAATAATTAGAAAATTGTTCTTAAATTTGTTTTTCAAAACTTCAAATCTGTAGAAAACCCTGCCTAATATTTATTATTATTAAATATGAACATATTACAAATAAAATGGTAAATAATAAATAAATTATTTTTAATATTAATAAATATTAATCAAGCTGGTTATTTTATAAGATAATTCAATTTGTATGCAAAGACTCTAATATATATTCTAATGCATCTTTTTCTTATTATTTACCTTTGGGTTTCAATAAAATGCATTTCTATCCAACCGGAAACGCTGGAAATCTTTTTAACTTTCACCCACAGCAAAACGAGCGTTTTCTATATCTAGACCCAAGATATATATTTGCATTGATCTGAAAGTCGACTCATTGTGGGCAGCTCGTTAGCACAGAACTGTGAGCCAATGTGAAATATATAACCAAATAAATGCTAATTGCCGTCGGGCATTGCCAAACCTAACGTGGCTTAACTAATTTCCGAGCTTTGCTCGAGATGTGGGCCAAGACTTACCTGGACTGGTCTGCCAGCTGAGGCCGCCAATGAACATTTTGCTACAATAAAAAGCATAAAAAAAACGTATGCATTAGACAAAGATGGTATTGGCAATATATTTACGTAAATGGAGCATGCTCTAAGTGTAGAACTACAAAAGATTGTTGTTTATGTAATAGATGGACCGAAAATAAAGAGAAAAACTATCCTCAGCATGCCGAAGATTAAATGCTCTTCAACACGGACTTTAAAGGTGACTTTATACAAAAGCTTGCTTTTCGATCGATGTTACCGTTTATATATATATATATAGTTGTCCGATGTAATACGTATTTGTATCTTGAAACACTGAAAAGTATTTCATATAAGAAATCAATTTTCGACGCACGCTTTTATAATCTCTATAAGACATAATGCTCCGATGTTAATAGGACTCTGTTCTTTTATAAGGAGCCAAGTAAAACCAGTTAATTCCAGGCTTTGTCAAGATAACTTGCAAGTGTATGTTTAGTGTATCTCTATTTAGTACTCCGAACTTGACAGCATTTCTTGTTCATAAAAGAAAATAATATTATACAGATCTCTCTTACCGCAGCTATATGATATAGTTGAGCGATTCGTCCGATTCATGGCGAAAACTTAGAAATTGGTTTGCATATAAATATATGCCATAGATATAGATATATTTTCTTCACATATACTATATTCTTTATAGATGTCTTCTTTTTGAAGCGTTACATTCTGCTTGACAAAACGATCATACCCTTTACGCTATGCTTAACAAAAACCAACAGCAAATAGTCTGAGTTATATCTTATATCAATGATGTCTCTTAGCCATTGTATCAACTGCAACATCATCATGATCATTGTTATAAAGATGATGATGATGATGATGATGATGGGCATCTTCGCGAGGCGGCCGCAGCGAAGGTGGCTGCTGACTGTTGTCTTCGTCATTATTTAAATCATAGAAAATAAGCCGCTTTCCCGGCATTGTTTTCATGCTGGAAAATCTCCCAGAGCCAGCCAAAAGCGACGGCGGCTTAACAAAAAAAAAAAAATGAAAACGTGTAGAAACAAAAGCAAAGGCGGCGACTGCAACTGCAACAACCACGACGACGACGACGACGACGACAATGATTATGAAAACTTCAACAAACTGCAAAAGAGCGCAACAGTGGCAACAATGTTGCAAGGGGAACAGCAGCTGGGAGAGAAGGGATTGTGGGGGGGGGGGCAGTGTGGGTGGCGTGGCAACTGGGCAGTGGGTGGCGCGACACGAAAACGAATGTAAAACACACACAAAAATGCATAGAAACACAAATTGCAATGAAAAGCAAAATAAAACAAGAGAGAGAATGTGAGCGAAAGAGAGAGAGCGTGTGACAGAGAGACAGAGAGCGAGAGAGCGCATGCAACTAAATGAAAATGTTAATAAAATGTGCAGCAACAACAACAACAACAACAGCAAAGTAAGCTAAAAGAAAAACTAAACCAGCGAACGGAAGAAGCGTCAACAACAGCGTCAGGAAAAGGGGGGCAACTAGTGTGTGCCAGGGGGCGGGGGGGGGGGTAACTATGCCTGTCTCTGTCTGTGTGTGTATGAGAGATGGGGGAGGGGGGGTGCAGGACAGTAACAACCTTTTCTTTTTTTTTTTGTGTGCATTGCAACCACTTTAAATGACTTGGATGATGGCCAGTGGAATTGGGTCTAAAGCATTTGCTGTTTGCATGCCGCACAATTTGTCATTAATCAGTCTTTCGCAATACTTTTCCCTGATTTTCCTTTTTTTATGGTTTTTCCAAAAGAATAACACTTCTAACAGCCAGCCGTCCATCCTTCAACTGACAATTGCATATTGAAAGCACATTAAAAGCAAACATTAGCTAACATTCGTCAGCATAGGAAATGTTGTGGGCCTTCTGGAGAGAAGTTGCAGCAGATTTTCCAGCTGAGAGACAATTTGGCACATGTTTAATATGGTTCTTATAGAGCTCATACCTTCTGAGAACTTAACAGAAGAGTCTTTGTGTGCAAGATGCAACCCAATGTGTGTATGTTTATGCCCCTCGATTTGTTCAAGATACAAGCTAATGCCTCGCCTTAAAGTTCGCCGATTTTCCTCATTAAAAACCCTTTATATAAGAAATTTATATTTCATATATTTCACCATTAACAAAAAGTCTAATTTCTTGAGAATCGATAGAGCCTGGACAGACTTATAGAGAAAATTGCACCCATGTCCATATCTACGACTGCATATATCCGAATTTATATGAAATTTCTATATATATATTCTTGGCTAGCATTAATAGCATAATCGATTTGTTCATCTGTCCGTCTGCCCCTCTCTCCTTCCGCATGTACAAACGCGTCCATCTCAGAACTTATAAGAACTAGAGACTTTCAAATCGAATCGAATGTAGGTCCTCTTTGTTTGCGATAATCGATAACTTGCCCCTGTTTCCAAGCAATCGATTAAATAGATACCGATAGCCTTTTTTTTGGAGGAAATCTCCTAGATTTGAAGAGCTAATCTCACCAAATTTGATATGTAGCTTCTAGAATAGTACATTCAAATCGAGTATCTTTTTATTTTGTACCCACTGCGCCCTTTCTGCCGTCCAGGGCATTTCCCAGTCGGGCATTCCCGACCCGAGCACTCTTGTTCTTTTATATAAATATTCAAAAAACTTCACAAAATTTGTCATTTAACTGCAAGCGTTACAGCCTGAGGCAGACTTATTCAGGCGGCGTTTCAAATTTGATGGCGATTTGTGTTTTGTGCAAAAGAACCAAAAAAAAAAATAAAAAGCAAATAACACTCTCGAGCATTGAGATCATCCATCACATTTGATTTGCACTTTGTCGCCCCATGCTGCCCCATTGAAGGCAACATTCAATGGCGATGACTCTTTCGCTCTGTGTTTGTGCAACGTCGCCACGTCGCACTGATCCGCAAATATTTGTATTCATTTCATAATTTTTCAGTATTTCTGTCAACGTCTCCATGGCTGAGGGTGTGTTTGTGTGTGTGTGTGTGTGTGTGCGTGGCGTGGGCGAACTGCAGGTAACCTTCGTGCACAGCATGCTGCTCCTCCTCGCGCGCGACATATCCATACAAATCACAAACTCATAGCCATTGCCTGCCCGTTCGCCCCCCCTTTATCCACTGTTGTGGCTGCCCAATTGCGGCTGCACCAAATAAATGCGACCTTGTCCTACACTGGCAATTTCTGTGCGTCTCTGTGTGTGTGTGAGTGTGTGTGTGTGCAGCTCACCGAACGAGCTGCGTGCTCGGAGCTCGCAGCTCGCAGCTCGGAACTCGCGTTCTTTGCCGCGGCGTCCAGCTGCGTGACGCGTAATTGCCGCCTGGCATGGCAACAACAAAAACTAAATACAACAAAAAATTAAAAAGAAACCAAAACCAAATGATTGGCTAGCAGATACCCCGCGTTGACTTAAAAGTTCTACAGTTTTGCCAAACCTCTATCGAAGCCTTCAAAATATATTATTTTATTTTATTTTATTATTTTTCAAGCTCTAAACAAAAATAATACTGAATATAATGATTCAAATTCATAGGTAAAAACTCTTTGTAGGGGTTGTGTTTTCGATAACATTAACAAAACCTTATTTAAATAAGACTATATAAGAATTTTGAGGGTAACATTTTACATTAATTAGGGCTATATTCAATTTTGGGGTGCCACATTTTGACATGAATTTCGACCCAAAAACATGTTGCCAGATTTAAATGCCAAATTAAACTAGAGGCAAAACCATGAATAAAAAACCAAATCTCGTTAAAATCAGTTGAGTTTTGACCGAGTTATGAGAAGGGGAAATTTCAACTTATTGCTATATCCGATTTCTTGACTATATTCGATTTTAGGGTGCCACATTGAGACATGATTTTCGACCAAAAAACATGTTGCCAGATTTAAATGCCAAATTAAACTAGAGGCAAAACCATGAATAAAAAACCAAATCTCGTTGAAATCAGTTGAGTTTTGACCGAGTTATGAGAACGGGAAATTTCAACTTATTACTATATCCGATTTCTTGACTATATTCGATTTTAGGGTGCCACATTGAGACATGATTTTCGACCAAAAAACATGTTGCCAGATTTAAATGCCAAATTAAACTAGAGGCAAAACCATGAATAAAAAACCAAATCTCGTTGAAATCAGTTGAGTTTTGACCGAGTTATGAGAAGGGGAAATTTCAACTTATTACTATATCCGATTTCTTGACTATATTCGATTTTAGGGTGCCACATTAAGACATGATTCTCGACCAAAAAACATGTTGCCAGATTTAAATGCCAAATTAAATTAGAGGCAAAACCATGAATAAAAAACCAAATCGCGTTGAAATCGGTTGAGTTTTGACCGAGTTATGAGAAGGGGAAATTTCAACTTATTACTATATCCGATTTCTTGACTATATTCGATTTTAGGGTGCCACATTTTGACATGAATTTCGGCCAAAAAACATGTTGCCAGATTTTAATGCCAAATTAAAATAGAGGCAAAACCATGAATAAAAAACCAAATCTCGTTAAAATCGGTTGAGTTTTGACCGAGTTATGAGAAGGGGAAATTTCGACCCATGACTATATCCAATTGCGGTGATCAACATTTTATCATGAATTTCGACCAAAAAACATGTTGCCAGATTTAAATGCCAAATTAAACTAGAGGCAAAACCATGAATAAAAAACCAAATCTCGTTGAAATCAGTTGAGTTTTGACCGAGTTATGAGAAGGGGAAATTTCAACTTATTACTATATCCGATTTCTTGGCTATATTCGATTTTAAGGTGCCACATTGAGACATGCTTTTCGACCAAAAAACATGTTGCCAGATTGAAATGCCAAATTAAATTAGAGGCAAAACCATGAATAAAAAACCAAATCTCGTTGAAATCGGTTGAGTTTTGACCGAGTTATGAGAAGGGGAAATTTCAACTTATTACTATATCCGATTTCATGGCTATATTCGATTTTAGGGTGCCACATTTTGACATGAATTTCGGCCAAAAAACATG